TCCCCACACCCCACCCCCGGGCCAGGTGTGGCCACTGGAAGCCCTGGGCTGGGAGCCTGACACCCGGGCTCCAGTCCCGGCTCTGCCCGCCCTAGACAACCCTTCTCTGGGGCCCAGAGGACTCTCTCCCTCCAGACTCTTCCTTCAAGCAGCACGAGCCAGAGCAGCTGAGCCTCACCACACTGACCAGCTGACCATGGGAAGGAGCCCCAGCAGGAAGAGATGGGGCAGGACGCGGACAGGAAAGGAGGCTGGAGAGGAGCAGCCAGGCCAAGCAGGCATGGAGAGCTGGGCTGGCTCCGTGCCACACTCACCCGCCTGCACAGCTGGTCTGAAGTTGGAAGGTGGGGAACAGGGAGATAAGGCCCTTCTCCACCCACAACCCCACCAGCCCAGGGCTGGGCTGACTGCTCAGAGCAGAACCTGCCGACCCGACCCGCAGCCTGGGACCCCCTCACCCATCCTCCCCACAGCTCAGCCCTGCCCAGCGGTGGGAACCAGCTGGACTCTGGGCCCCGGGGGGTGAGTGACCATAAGGAGCATCTCTGGCAGATCACTTCGAGTCTCCAGCCTGCGTTTGCTCATCTGCAAAGGGGGGTGGTTAACATCTACCTCCCAGGCTGTTGTAAAGACCAAAGGGCATAACCTTTGCAGGTGCCTGGTGCAGAGCGGCTGCCCTAAGTGCCCCTTCCTTCCTCTTTATACCCCCTTACAGCATCTGCTCACCCGCCTGGCCCCTGATCACCACATGGCATGAGGCTGGCTCCATGCAGTCATTCAAGAGCCCTTCTCTGAGGCATGTGGGTAGTCTGACAGCCCCACCCTGGGGGCCACGGAGGGAAAGCCTAGGGCTCTGGGAGCTCGAGGACCCCCATGAATTCCTCGAGGTAGGAGGTGAGGGGGGGCAGGTCTCTGAGAATCGAGCACGGAAGCATGAAAGGCATGGCATTTGGGAGAAAGGTCGCCCTGCAGCTGGGGGGAGAGGGATGGCTGCTGCAGAGGCTGCAGGTAGAGACGGTATTTCAGACCTAATTTCAGTCAACAGGGAGCCAGACAGAGGTGGTCTGAGAGCCGGGTCCGTGACTGGGTGGGGCAGGGGCAGTGCCAGAGGCCCGGGCTTGTTGAGACCCCAGGAGCACCTTCCTGGGGCCGGGCCCCCGCCCCCTCCTCCCACCAGGGCTCCATGGCCTCTCCACTGGGCCCTCCTGGGCACCAGGCCCTCAGTCCCCTGCCTCCTGGGTGTCCCCACTGACATCCACCGGCCTGTCCAGACCAGACCTCCTCTCCCTTCCAAGGGGCTCCTCCTCAGCCTCCCAGCTCGGCCCACATGCCACCACCACCCTTCCCCAGGCAGAGCAGGGCCTGAGAGCTCCCTCCACACCTCTCGCTCCTGCATACAGCCCACCTCTCTCCATCAGCATGGCCACCCCCCTGCTGGCCAAGCACCTCCCTGCTGGGCTCCCGGGTTCCACCCTGTCCACTCCCATCTACCCTTCATTGCGAGCAGGGTCAGCTTTTAAACAACCTGAGCTTGTCATCCCCATCCATTCCCACGGCCTCAGGACAAAGTCCATATCCTGTCCCTGCCCACAAGACCCCAGCCCGGCCCTCACCAGCCCCATCCCACAGCCAGAGGCGCCCTTCATATTAAACACCTCAGTTAAAAGCCCCACACTCCATCCCCTGCCCCTTCACCCAGCGAACTCCTTCTCATCCTTCCAGGCCAAGCTGAGAGGGCCTGCAGGAAGCCACATCCTCCTGTATCCCCAGCACAACTCACACCGGCCCACCTGACTCCGCTATTGCTCTGGTTCGCTCTCCCCTACACCCTGCACAGCATGCAGGGCCCTCAGCAAATGCTAACAGAAAGAGTGACTACATTAATGGGTGAAGAAAGTCCATGCTGCCCAGGAAAAAGCAGAGAAGGGAGCTCAGGGGACAGGCCTGTCAGCAACACTGAGGCAGCTCTACCTACGCCGACGGGAAGGATGGCCCAGACATGTGGCCAGTGGAAAAGCATGGAACAGTATGGGGGCAATGTTACCATCATAGACAAAAATTTTTAATTATGTATACACATTATTTTATATCATATATATATATATACATATATATATATATATATCCCAGTGCACAAAATTCGTGTGCTGTTGGGGGGATCCCTCAGCCTGGCCTGTGCCCTCTCGCAGTCCGGGACCCCTCAGGGGGGTGTCCGCCTGCTGGCTTAGGTCCAATCCCTCTCACAGTCTGCAGTCCAGGGCTCTCGCAGTGCGGGACCCTTTGCTCCTTACCACCTGCCTACAGTGGAGGCAGGAGAGGCTCCCGCCACTGCCCCTGTGCTCGCTGGGCTTCTGGCTGAGCAGTGCTCCACCTGTGGGAGCACAATGACCACCAGGGACCACTCCTGCATTGAGCATCTGCCCCCTGGTGGTCAGTGCGTGTCATAGCGACTGGTCGTTCACCAGTCATTCCGCTGGTCGTTTCACTGTTTGGTCGATTTGCATATTAGGGTTTTATTATATAGGATACAGATATACAGTCAGCCCTCTATATCCACAGATTCCCCATCTATGGATTCAACCAACCATGAGTCAAAAATATTCAGAAAAAGTTACGTTGTTGCTGACATACTATGTAGTTAGGCCAATGATGGTTGGGTCTGAACTGAACATGTATAGACTTTTTTCCTTGTCATTATTCCCTAAACAATAACAACTATTTACATAGCATTTACATTGTATTAGGTACCATTAGAGATGATTTAAAGCAGCAGCTGCCAACCGGTGGCCTGCGGACCACTGGTGGTCAGTGAGGTCTGAACGGTTGGTGACCGCTGATTTAAAGTATACAGGAGGGCATGCATGGGTTATATGCAAATACCACACCCTTTTATATAAGGGATTTGAGCATCCATGGATTTGGGTATTGACTGGTGGTCCTGGAACCAATCCCCTGTGTATACTGGAGGATCGATTGGAAATTAATGGCAGTGGTTCTCTGAGTGGCAGAAGGAAAACGTTCTAATCTGTAGTGCGTATACCCATTTCAAAATAAATAATAAAAACAAGGCCTCTTCCTTCGGTGAGAGGACCCTCCCCCGCAGAAGGGCAAGGACACTCCACCTGACGGGAAGGACCCCGTTGGGCGCAGGGCTTCGCAGCTTCCACAGCATCTCCCCTCACCTCCTCAGAAGGCCGCTGAGAAGTGTAGTCACATTCCCTTCTCAGAAGGGAGAACTGTGCCTCCAGGAAGGAGAGGGACTTCGAGATCACACAGCAGATAATCAGGAAGTGGGATGAGCAAGGGACCTGGGCCCAGAGCCCCGGCTCTCGCTCTCCCACCTGGACTTCCCCAAATCCCAGGATGCACCTGCGGGACTGTGGAGCTGGTGGTGGGAGTAGGAGAAGCAAGAGGCTTGCCACTGCCGGCTTGAGACCAGGCCCGCCTGCCCCTCTCTGGGCCTCGTGCCCATCCATCCCCTGAGACTCTCAGCACTGCTTCCCGAGCCCTCTGGCCTCTCTCTCCGAGAGCCCACAGTCAGCAGACAGTGACTGCCCACTTGCCCAGCGCAGGCCTCTTGCTCAAGTCTCCAGTAATAAAACCTGCCCTTGGGGCCCTGGGCCGGGCTGGAGGACAGATAAGGACGATTCCCAAGCCCCAACACAGCACACAAGGTCCCTAGGGGCCTCCAGGTCCCTAGGGGAAGATCAGGGGCCTCCCTGGGGCCAGAGATACCCCCAAGGGGATGTGGCAGGAATCCGTTTTACCTCAAGCTCCACCTCCTCCAGGAAGCCCTCAGGCCTGCCAGCCTGCAGCCTCTACCTTAGCAGACCATGAATACCAAAACACATGCTGGGGCACATACCTCCCCAGAGTCACAGAGGTGCCACCCAAGAATCTCCTCATTGCACTGGAGGGAAGGCTGTGACCAGAGTGCCAGAGGTTCCCCAAAGGCCGCTTGCCAAGACCGGGTGCAGGCCTCCCAGACCTCTGTTCAACATCAGGAAGTCCTGGTCCCTGTCAGCCCTGCCACCTGTTCCCCGCAGAACCCAGGGACAGCCCCTGGCCTCTGGGTCCCCAGTGAGAGATGGCCCGGTGTCCTCGGAGGGCCCTCTCCTATTGGGGTGCCTGGGCCGACTTGTGGCCTGGGTACTGTCTGTCCCTCGGGCTCCTGGGGGCGGGCCAGCTGGAGCAGGCGAGCCCAGGGCAGACAGTCGGGGACAGGGTGTCCCCCCGCTCATGGCTGTGAGCGGTGCGGTAATCTGAGGAAATCCTGGGTGTGCGGGGCTGTGCCCAGGGTAACCCAAGCCATGAAGTGACCAGGGTTGCCATGGTGAGGGACAGGTATGGTTTCTGAGTGGGACAATGGCCCGGCCCAGCTGCTTCTTCAGACCCCGCTCTCCTCCACATCACCCACCCAGTCACAGAACCGTGGAGCCACCAAGTCCAGAAAGTCCCTTGAACCCTACAGCTCTTGAGCACGACTTCCCAGACACCCAGAATCTGAGGCCCATGGACTAGAAGGCTGGGGCCTCCCAGGGACCATGGCTTGGTTTTCTGACCAGAGCCTCGGAATGAAGGCGGCTCCGTCCCCTGTCCCCTCCCTGCCCCTCTCCCTCACCCAGAAAAGGGGTCAGAAAGGTTACTAGTGACTCTTCCGATGAGGCAAAGGGTGCAGATCCCGGGGTTTCTGGAGAATCTACAACCTCTGGCATTATTTTCTTTGACCCCTAGTCAGCCTTCTGAAGACACAATGTCCAGCTGCTTTCTCCGCCAGCTGCCAGCCAATCACAAGCAGGATTCACTGATCCTGGGACTCTCTGAAGTTCCCCACCCACCGCAGCCCTTCTGAACCCGTCTTCGCCTTTTTCCTTGATTCAGTCTACGAACCAACTGCATCCCACGTGAGCAACCAGTTTGTCTGCAAAATCACTGAACTGTGTGTAAATAACCACCTCCAGGCCTCAGAGTGATTCTCAGACATGGTCTGCAGGGTCCACGGTGGAGCACCTCCCACCTCCCTCAGCTCCTCCCTGGAGGTAAGGAGCCAGGTGAGATTGTCTTTCCACTAAGCTTTTTATGTAGACAGTTTCCCACCATTCACACACACTACCAGCCTTTGCTGCAATCATGTGGCTGTTGAACCCTGTACTCAAATCTCATCATAGCACAAAACAGTAGCTGACGGTTCAATTAAGTCCTATTATTTTTTCCCCCTAGTGTGTGATGAAAATTGGGTATCTTACTTCTCAAATTTTGTTAGATTGATTCATATAACTGAGCCTATACTTAAAATCCCTCGGAACCTTCTCTGCACTTGTCCCAGGCACTTGTCAGCCCACAGCCCCCTGAGCATGCCCTCCATACCAGCCTGCCCAGGGCCTGGGGACTGGCCTCCGGGGCTCCCTCCGCTCTCTCCCTGCACACTGCTGTGGGCCTGGCTAACCCTCGTGGAGTGTCAGTCTTCCTGTCTGTAAAATGGGACTGTTGGAGTAGATCCGCAGTTGTAAGTGTGGCCCAAAGACCTCTGAGGGTCCCCAGACACTTTTAGAGAGTCCACCAGGTCTTTCTTTTCCACCTGCGTATCAGTGAGGCCAGATTTTCTTCATATACTTTAACTAAAACATCAGCCTGGATGCAGAGCAGATATGAGAATCCAGTTGTCGTCTATTAAAGCCAGACATTAAGGATATTTGAAAAAATTGTAAAACAATGTCACTCATCTCATTATCTTTTTTTTGTAAATATAGTTCTTTTTCATAAAAATATGTTACCTTGTCATGGATTTTTATGGTTATTTTAAAATGAATTAATAAAATGTTTGAAGTTTCCCAATTTTAATTTCTAATGTGGTAAATATCAATAGACATTACTCACATAAACACACTTTGGGGTCCTCAATATTTTTTTTTTGTTGTTAATCCTCACCCGAGGATATTTTTCCATTGATTTTTAGGGAGAGTGGAAGAAAGAGAAGACAGAGGGAAACATCGATGTGAGAGAAACACATTGATTGGCTGCCTCCTGCACGAGGCATGACCAGGGCCCGGGCCGGGGAGGAGCCTGCAACCAAGGTATGTGCCCTTGACCGGAATCGAACCTGGGACCCTTTGGTCCGAAGGCCGACGCTCTATCCACTGAGCCAAACCGGCTATGTCTCCTCAATAATTTTTAAGAGCACAAAGGGTTCCTGGGTCAAAAAGTGTGAGAACCTCTAATTAAATGATCTCCGTGGGCCCTTCTTGTTCTGATGGGCACTGCCCTCCCTCAACGCCCATGGGCCCCTCCTCCTGTTGGGATCAGCTCAGTCCTGTCTGGGTGAGACTGTCTTCATTTGTCGTGAGTTTCCAGGTGGAGTGTGGGGTGTAATATGGAGGTTTGGGGGAGGGGAGTCAAGGAGCACGTTCCTTCCTCCATTCCCTGCCTGAGGATATGGCTCCCAGCCCCTCCTCTCTTGACCTTGTGGACCCAATAGCAGGCCTGACCCCACAGCAGACCCAGGTGGGCGGGGCAGCAGCTCCCTGTCTCTGGGCAAAGCACTGAGCCTCTCACCATCTCTGCCCTGGCTTCCCTGTGGTTCCAAGACCTACGGAGGCACATGAACCTGTGGTACAAACAGCCTCCTTCCCCAGCCACAGACCACACAGGCCACGGCCCCAAAGAGAGGATGAGCCAGCCCCAGGGGCACGGGCAGAGGGGTCCCTGGCCAGTGGCCAGCAGCAGGCCTGGCAGTCTCGGGAGGCTGGGCCCCTGGGTGGCACTGGGGCCCAGGGCAGCTGGGCGGGCGGCACTCACATAGATGAGGTGGTCCCGGTAGCGGATGAGCAGGTTGCGCAGGATGCCAGCCTCATTGAGGTCCCCCAGGCGGATCATGTCCTCCACACCGTGGACCGAAGTGGGGTGCATGGGCTTGATGTGCGTGGCCTTCTGCGGGGTGATCCAGTGTTCCTGCGGGAGGCACAGGGGCTTATGTCGGGGTGTGCTCCTGATCCCAGGCTGCGGGAGGATGGGGGAGAGGCCCTGGATGGAAGGGAACCCCCAGTCCGTGCAACCCTGCTAAGGGTTTTGTTCTCTTTGTTCTCTTCCGCAGCCAAACGCCATCCCCTCCCTTCTGCAGCCAAACGCCTCCCCTCCCTTCCAAGGGGCTCCTCCTCAGCCTCCCAGCTCGGCCCACATGCCACAACCACCCTTCCCCAGGCAGAGCAGGGCCTGGGAGCTCCCTCCACACCTCTTGCTCCTGCATATAGCTCACCTCTCTCCATCAGCATGGCCATACCCCTGCTAACAGGTTTGAGTCTATGCCCGGCCCCAACCCCCAGGGGCCTCTTCTCCTCCTCCTCTTAGGGATTCTCTCGACAGACCTAAGAGGCAGGCAGGCCAGGGACTGTGGCCCCATAAGTTGTCATAAAGGGGATGAGGGTCCCCCAGTCACGTTGCGGGATGGGATGGAAAGTGTAATACTTGTTAGCCTTGGCTTCCGATCTAGACTCCGGTAAACAAATGCACAAAAAGTAACTTCAGAGAGATCCAGGGATAAAGCAACAGGCACAGAGCATGGAGAGCCACCGGGGGAGCGACGTTAGACAATGCGGTCAGGGGCCACCTCTCCGAGGAGGTGATAGTTAAGCTCAGACCGGAATGATAAGAAAGAGACCCTGTAAGATGTGGGAGTCCCTTGCCGTGGCCGGTTTGGCTCAGTGGATAAAGCGTCGGCCTGGGGACTGAGAGGTCCTGGGTTCAATTCCAGTCAAGGGCATGTACGTTGGTTGCGGGCACATCCCCAGTAGGAGATGTGCAGGAGGCAGCTGATCGATGTTTCTCTCTCATCGATGTTTCTACTCTCTGTCCCCCTCCCTTCCTCTCTGTGGAAAACTAATAAAATATATTAAGATTAAAAAAAAAGATGTGGGAGTCCCCACGAGAGGAAATTTCAGGTCCAGGGAACGGCACACGCACAGGCTGAGGCTGGTGAAGGAGGGCGGCAGCAGTGGAGACGGGGAGAAGTGGACCTATTTGGGGGGGTGGGTGTATTTCACGGGTTTGATGCCCGTGGAGCGGGGGCGCTTTCACTACTGAGCTGAAGCAGAAACAGGACAGGTTGCCCTCCCCTCCGGCTCCCCTCCTCTTCCCCGCAATATTCCCTGCTGCCACCGGGTGGCAGACGGTGGAGCATCTGGCCAACAGCATTGACTCTCAACAAACTTGCAAAGCCCAGGTTTCCTCCCAGCACTGGAAGCCTCTCCCCGCTCTCCCCTGCCCCTCACCTTCCCGCTAGCCTCCAGCACCTTCTCCTCACAATGCCAGCCCTCCAGGGAAGTGAGTCTGACCTGTGCTCTGGGGTGTGGCCACAGCCTGAGTCAAGCCCCCACAGGCCTCTGGGGCCCACTCCCTCCTCCCAAATGCCAGACCCTGGGAGCCTCAGGACCTGGCAGGAACCTGACTTTGGGGAGGCGGGTGTAGAGGACCCTCCACCACCTCCCAGCTCAAGCCTCCGACTTGCTGAGCAGGTGTGATGGACAAGTCATGATTCTCCTCCAGGTCCCCTCCGGGAGAAACAGCCCCTGCGGCTAGATGCTAGCAGGAATCTGGCATCGCCCCCCCCCCATCCCATCTCACCTCCAATCCTACAGGTCACCACTCCTACCCAATCAATCCTCTAAAGCGCCCTCCTCGCCAACCTCAAGCCCCTACGCTGATCCTGATCCAGAACACCAGCTCTCACCTGGTCCCTGGCCCCTGCTGTCCTCCACCTCCCCTCCAGCCCTCCCCTCTCACCCCTCACCCCGTGGCGTTTCCTCAGGCACCAGTCTGATCCCACCACTCTGGGGCTTTCAGCGCTTCTCTGACTCCCCCACACACATGCTCTTCAGCCTGGCCAGCGTGAGCCTGACACCAGGACCGCCAGCCTGTGCTCCAGTTACCTCTGTACTTCCAGGCCAGGGGAGGCTGGTGGTCATGGCCCCAAACCCCTCTGTGACTGGCTCGTGCTGTCCCCTCTCCCTTCTTTCCATCAGCCTTTGAGGCTCAGTTCAGATGTTCCCCAGTTTCCAAAGCTTCATTGACACGGCTGCCCACCCTCACATGCTCCACCTGCGCGCCCCCGCCCACGTCCACCGCAAGCAGGGTCAGGGGCCCCCTCTGGGTCCCCACGTGGCCTGGGTCTCCCACTGCGAACATTCCTCTCTCCCTGGGTTGCCACTGTCTGAGTGCAGCTCTGTCCCTGACCCCCCCCCCCAACTTGCCCCAGGCTGGGCGCTCCTGGGGGCCAGGCTCCCTGGCTGGGGTGTCCCTTCCGCGATGCCTCCTACAGGGACAGTGGCAGGGACTCGCTAATGGGCCAGTGGCCAGCTGGCGAGCACGGCGGACCAGGACTGAATCAGAAGCAGAAGTCCTGGTCACGGGGAGACCCCAGACCCCTATCCCAACCCCTCACTTCACCTGGGGGACTAGGACCAGAGCAGGGCGGTGGCCTGCACAAGGCCCTCAGAGGCTCAGGCCCAGGCTAGCCATTGCCCACACCTCCGGTTTCCCTGGCATTTCCAGGCACCTCCTGGGCCAGGAGCAACTCAATCCAGGTCAGGCCCTCATGCAGCTCTCCCCGTGGCATGAATGGGCCGGGCGGTGAGATCGAAGAACGCGCCTGGGCTTTCCAGTCCCAAGCGGAACATTCCTCTCCCCCAGGCTCCCTGTTCCTCATAAAAGCTGACCCAGGTGGAAAATTCCCTCTGCCTGGTCCCCTCTCACTGACTGTGGGCCAGAGAGAGAGGACTCCCGGGCAAGCTGTCTGCCTTCCCCACTCGACCCCAACTCTGGGCCCATAATTGCTCCCCGAATCGCTCAGCACAGAGAGAAGAGGCGACTCAGCCCCTGTGTGACCCTGTAACCCTGTGCACGTCACTGCTTCCCTGAGCCTCCACGACCTCACCTACGAAATGGGAATTAGAGCAACAGTCCCTTCTTCTTGGGGATGTTGGGAGGATTCACTGATACAATGAAGGCCGAACTTTGTTTTACTCCTGCGAGATCTACAAAGGAGCCTGGGCATTCCTCAGCCAGCACTGGGTATTATACTCCCTCGGGACAGAACGACCGGCCGCTGGTTTACAGCGAGGAGTCACGCTCCAGAGGTTCAGTGGCCTGTCCAGTCCAACGGCAGAGCTGAGTCTCTCCCCACCCCTTTCCAGCTGAGGCAGCACCCTCAGGTCAATATCCACCCACAACGCGGACCAAAGTGTAACCAGGGAAGAAACCAAGGCCTGGCCCCAAGAGAGAGGGGGAGGGAGCGAGAGAGACCATGGCCAATTGCGGGGACTGTGGCACATGTGGAAAAGAGCTGGCCTGGCACTGAGCTCGGAGAGAGGGGGCCACATGCTCTGAGAGGGAGGGAAGGAGGCGCACCTGGCCATGGGAAGGGCTTGGGCAAAGGCGGAGTGTTAGGATTCCATGAGGACTGCAACCATGACCTGCCATTCATTCCCTTATTCATTCATTCATTCAGCAGGCCTCTATGGAGAACGTTGTCTGGACAGACCCTTTGTTGAGCTCTGGAGAACTGGATGTGAGTCACCTGGTCCCTACCCTCCAGTTGAAGAAGTCTGTGGGAGGACAGGAATAAAAGAGAGGGCCTGGAGGGGTGAGGCGGGCATGAGCGTGAGAAAGGCTGGTGAAAGAGGAGGTCAGAGCCAGGCACCCGATTCCACTGAGGCAAGCCCATCCTCCCCATCCTGCTCCACGCAGCCAGTCATGCAGGCCCCGCTCTCAGGGCCTCAGTGGGGGCGGCTGGGAGGGGACCTCTGAGATCTGGTGACACAGTTACGGGACACCATCTGACATGCAACATGACCCAGCTGAAACTCAAGCCTGCAGGCAGCGTCCCGGGGCCCCACCCTGAAGGCTGCAGGCAGGTTCGTGGGCTGTCTGTGCCATCAGCCCCCCTTCTGTGGCTGCAGCCAGTGGCTTCCTGGGGCATCTGAGAACTGGAGCCTCAGGAATGACCCTGCAGGCGCTCCCAAACCCAGGGCACAAAAGGTGGTCAATGAACCTGAGCCCCAAGTTCCCACTGAGATGTTGGGAGGGGAATGGGATGCACAGAGGCCAGAGGGCCTGGGTCCTCACCCCAGCACCGTCACCTGCAGCTGTGTGACTAGTTCCGTGGCCCCTCTCTGTGTGCAGTGTCCCTGGGGTAACAGTGGCTGCCCACTTGGCCTGTCATAGATGCTGTGAGGACCCAAAGAAGGAACGGGGTCGGGCTGTGCAGACCCTGATGGGGCTGTCCCGGGAGCTGCAGGGGTAACAGTGACGCCCCTCTCCCTCCATGTCCACTACAAGGCCTCCAGCGTCCTGAGCCCTCCCCTCTCCCCAGCAGAGCTTTCTGCTCCAAGTCACCGTCCCCTCCTTCTCCCCCGTCAGACTAGGAGGCTAAGACAAGGACTCAGTCCCATCTCTATTGGGCTAGAGATGAGTACAACCCAAATTATGGTGGAACTGAATCTCTCTGAGTCCCTCACGTCCCTGCTAAGCAGCCACCCTCTTCTCTGCACCACATCTGCATGTCCCCATGCATATACACATGTGCAATACACATGCACACGTGTTCAGAGGCTTCCCCTCTGAGCCCTCATCCAGACCGTGCACCTTCCTCACACCTTTCCTTCCCTCCTCAAAGCCCCACTCTCACTACCAACTCACACTTCCCGTGTCCCTCTCCTTCAGGAGACAGAGGAGACACGGGAGATAAAGGGTTAACCCGTCAGGCTGATTCCCAGGGGAAGTCGGGTGGACAATGAATTCACAGGATGCCGCAACCCAATAGAGCAGTGGTTCTCAACCTTCCTAATGCCGAGACCCTTTAATACAGTTCCTCATGTTGTGGTGACCCCCAATTTCATTGTTACAAATTGAACATAATTAAAGCATAGTGATTAATCACAAAAACAATATGTAATTATATGTGTGTTTTCCGATGGTCTTAGGCGACCCCTGTGAAAGGGTCGTTCGACCCCCAAAGGGGTCGCGACTCACAGGTTGAGATATGTGTTTTCCGATGGTCTTAGGCGACCCCTGTGAAAGGGTCGTTCGACCCCCAACGGGGTCGCGACCCACAGGTTGAGAACCGCTGCAATAGCGCGAGACCAAGGGCGTTTCCAAGCTCTCACTTTCCTGGGATGTTCTCCATGTGTGATCTCATTTGTGGGTCAACACCCTGTGACATAGTTCCTGTTATCCCCATTTTACAGAAGAAAACAGTGAGGCTCAGGAGGAAAAACGACTTGGCAAAGCTTGCACAGCTAGTCAGTGGGCGATGGAATATGAGCCTAGTCTGTCCAACCCGGAAGCACACTGGTGTCTGAAGAGCTCCCAGCCTGGGGCACCCGCCGCCTCACCGCACATGTGCACACGCCTGCGCAGACACACATCTCTAACACTAGAAGCATGGACTATGCTTGTGGACATAGAACAGGTAGCCTGGGGTAGAAGAGGAGAACTCCATGGGGGGGGTGGGGGCAGTGAGAGGTGACAGTGAGGGCACAGGACCACCTCTACCCCCTTGAGGGGGGTCACTGCTTGGCGCCTACCTCAGGTCCCCTGTCAGCCCGTGTCCTCCCCAGGGCATGGGGATGGGGGGAGAAGGGGGGCTACTCACATTGCCCTCATCGTCCACCACCTGGATCTGCCCCGAGTCGCAGAGCTTCACCACCGCCCCGATGGGCACATCGAACTCCTGCCCGGATCTCAGGTCCATCCAGACATAGTCCCCCTGTGGGTGAGAGACATCCCAGGCCAGGTGAGCGGGGATGAGGCTCGGGCACCCCTTCCCAGCAGCCCTGTGCCCCATCCCCACCCCCACCAGAGGCTTCTGTGCCAACCACAGGAGAGGAAAGAAAAGGGTACTTGCACTTGCTGAAAGCCATTTGGTGCCAGCCCTGGGCTGGGCATTTATGCAATGTCATCACCCCTCCTCTGTAGCAGCCATCACTGCCCTGATTTTACAGATGATAAGCAGAGGCTTGGAGAGAAACCTAACAGCTGATAAAAACGGATTCACAATGAAATTAGCCCATGGGAATGGCCCAGGGGAAGAGCTCTGGGCTGTGAGTCAGGAGACTGGGTTGTAGGACCCGCTTGGCCTTGGACCAGTGGCTGACCACTCGGAGCCTCGGTTTCCACATGTCCCAGTGAGAGATGGGCTCAGTGAGTCCCAAGGTCAACTTAGCACCGTTCCAACCCCTTCCTATTCGCACTGGAAACAAGTATTTTTCAGCCACAGCTGCCACTGTGGGTCTTTGCTTAATGGGAGGTTAGCACATGTTAGAGACAGGCTTAGTCCAAACCCAAGCTTTTTCCCAGAAAAAGTCAACATAATTGGAGAGCCTCTGGGAGGGGAGGGGAACTTACGTATTTACTGAGCATCTACTGTGTGCCCGGCCTGCATGGCTGCTTCCATAAACGGCCCCCTGTAACCCCCATGTCTGCTTTAGTCCAGGGCCCAAGCTGAGCTTCCTGAGTGCTAGGCCTGGGGCCACCTGACACCCCCCTGCCCAGGCTGTTCTTCACCTGCCCACCACCCACCCGTCTGTCCAGATCCAGAACAAATAGCAACTCTCCTTGGCCCCTCCGCACCTCCCTACTTTCCTCTTCCTCCTCTTCCTCCCCAACTCCTGAAGAGTTCATTCATTAATTCAGCACATATTTGCAGAGAGCCAGCTGTGGGCCAGGCCTGGTCCAGGCTCTGGGGACAGAGCAGTGACCTGGCAGAGTGCCTGGGGCAGCAGTGGCAGCCCTGAGCCGGAGCCATCAGAGGGGACCTGAGCAGGCGCCAGGTCCCACGGGCCCTGAAAGCCATGGACAGGCGCTGGGCTTTTAAATATGAAGCCAGTGGGAGGTTTTAAGCAGGAGAAAGAAGTGATGTTCAGAGCTTCCCCCTGGCTGCTCTGTGGAGAATGAAGGCATCCCTTGGTACAGCCAGCACCACGCCAGGTCATCACCACCTGAGTCCATTCCCCGCCGGCCTGCGGGGCTGGGTCTGAGTCTTCATCTGTGACTTCCCAGGGTCAAACGCAGAAAAGCAAAATTTGTCTCTCAGAGAGAGAGAGATAGAAATAGAGAGAGAGGCACACAGAGGCACACATGAGCATACAAGTGAGAGGGTGTGTGTGTGAGTATGTAAGAGAGAGCATGTGTGAGAGAGGAGGGTGTGTTGTGTGTGTGTGTGTGTGTGTGTGTGTGTGAGAGAGAGAGAGAGAGAGAGGCTGACTGACTCCTGGAGGCCGGCCGTGGCACCAGGACACTGCTCTGTGCTGACTCACAATGACCCTCACAATGTTTCCCTCAACCTATTTCATGGAACCTTATGATAACCTTTAAGCAGGAGATTCCATCTCCGATTACCTCCACAAGGACGTCAAGAAACGTGCTCCAGTTCACACGGCCGTTTTGTGGCAGAGCCAGAAATGAAGCCTAGCCTGACCAACTCCAACCCAGCTCTTTCTCCCGACATGCCCTGGGCCCAACCCTGAACCAGCTCTGTGAGCAGAACGCAGAGCACTGATAGAGTCTCTGCCTGGAGATGACTTGTGGGCCCAAAAGGTCAGCTGGAAGCTTGGGCTGGGGGTAGCCAGAGGGTGAGGGTAGCTGAGTCATCTGTACCCCCAACCAGCTCAGAGTCTGACACACAGAAAATGCATTCCCCTCAGGTAACAGAAAACCAAAATGAAAGACCTGGTGTCAGCAGGAGATGGAGGCTCAGAGAGGCTGAGCAAGGAGCATGGGGCCACACAGCAAAGAGAAGGGACTAGAGCCTCCTAACCAAGGCCTGATACCAGGAGGACAGTGACTTAAGTGTTTCTGCTTAGGTCTGAACTTGGGAAAAGAGGCTAAAATGGCAGCTAAGAGGCTTCAGGGAGAATTCTGGGGCCTGAGGACCCTGAGGGGGAAAGGCCCATGGTCCCAGGGAAGGTCCTTGCAGCGTCAGAATAGAAGGGACACTGAGCTCCAGGTTAACCCCGCCAGACGCTCCCATCCCCATGGCCAGGCTCCAGGCGTCCCCATGACCCCCCCTGGCCCCATTCCTACCACCACCCCCCCAGGAGGGCACCCCACTGGGGACCTCACCTTGAACTGAAAACCCCACTTGCGGGGTGACACACCTCAGTGTGGCGGTGTGGCTCAGGACAAGTTCCAGCTTCTCTGCTGTGAATACGGGGCTGGAGCAGAGGGTCTCCCAGCCCCAGAGTGGGTACCCCAAAACCCTGGTGGGGCCCCTCAGGGAAGCAGAAGAGAGTGGGTTCAGGTCCCAGTTCTGCCACTGACACCATGTGACTTTGGGTAAGTCTTTCAGACTCTCTGGGCCTCAGTGTTCACCAGCCTTAAAATGGGAAGAGGGCAGTGGCCGTGAAGATGAGAGAGCCACGCAAATGCCAGCTGTGCCGGACGTCTCCCACCTCCCGCCCAGGCAGGAGCCCCACTTCTCTTCAAGGGCCTTCGTCCCTTATGCCTCTTCCCTCCTCTGGGGCGGGGCCTGGGGCTCAGTCCCGTTTGTGGAATGAGAAGGAGTCTGTTTCAGGACATGCCTCCCCCCCGCCCCCCAAATCCTCATAATGGCTCTAGGACACTGGTTTTATTAGCCCCAGTTTTCACAGGTGGGAAAGGTGAGCCCACAGACGTGTCCAGGTGCCTGTGCGTAAGGAAGTGTCCAGTTGCTAACCTCGGTGATAGAGACTCAGTGGGCCATCCAGTCCCCGAATGTCTACCAAGGCCCTGGGGCACCTGCTCAGCTCCCTGCCGGGACCCTCCTCCGCCCCGCCATCCCCCTGGGTAAATGCACAGGCTCTCCCCCCAGGGAGGGGCCAACTCACGCTGGGAGGCAGGGACCAAACGCAGCACCACCAGCCCCCATCCCCATCTGCGTGCACCCGAGGCTTCGCGACCCTGTGGTCCTCCCTGGCGCCTGACAGACAGGGAGGCTGAGGCCGGGCAGGGGCCCCGGGGCGCACCCTCCCGCTCCCGCCGGGCCTCACCGGCATGACCGCGTAGGTCTTCAGCGCCTGGTTCAGGCTGCGCACCAGCGCCCACTTGCCGGGCTGCGGGGCGCGCGCCTCGGCGGAGGCGGAGGGGTCGGCGGGGTCCGCGGGGTCCGCGGGGTCCTCGGGGCGGGCGGGGGGCTCCATGGCGCGAAGGGTCTGGCGGCGGCTCCGGCGGCGGCGCGGCTCAGGTCCCTAATTCACCTAATCCGGTGCGCGCCGCCCTCGGGGAACCCTAAACCGGGCCATCTGCCGCGGGCCCATGGCAACCGCGGCTTAGATGACGCCTGCGGGGCCAGGAGCGGGGAGGGGGCGCCCGCGCCGACCCGGCCCCCTCCCCTGTTGGCGGGACCCCGAACACCCCCAAATCGTCGGGGATTCGCAGCCAGCTTCATAGGGACCGTGGCAGGTGGCCACCGGGCTGCCGGCCTCAGCGCAAATGAGGCACCTGGAACCTCACCTTGACGGCAGTTTTGGAGAAAATCGGTATGTTTGCTACGAAAAGAAACCCGGGGCTGTTACGGAGTAGAATACAATGAACTTCGTGAATTTTTAAGACTAAAGGGAGGCTGGAGTGGCCGGCTCAGTGGTTGAGCGTCGACCTATGAACCTGGAGGTCACGGTTGGATTCCCCGTCAGGACACATGCCCGGGCTGCAGGCTCGATCCCCATTGGACTGTGTGCAGGAGGCAGCTGATCAATGATTCTCTCTCATTGTTGGGGTTTCTGTCTCTCTCCCTCTCCCGCCCTCTCTGAAATCAATAAAAAAATATTTTTAAAAAGGGAAAATGCACCAAAGATCTTTCTAGCTCACTGCTGCCTCTGGGAAGTGAGGGCAGATAGAAATCCGGGGCTGTTGGGGGGAAGGGAACTCTGGGGGACGTTGGAGAAAGTCCCCGAAGAGTCCGTCTCTGGTCCTCACCCAGCCTTTGAGGCCACCAGCCCCTGATCTCCAGCCGGCAGAGGAGGCCCTGCGCCCTGGGGAGGGGTCCCCTGGCTCCTGAGTACAGCAAGCAACCCCTAGGGGGTTCAGAGCTCACCCACCGGGGTACCAAGCCGGGTTCCTGTGTTTAGCAGCGACGCAGGACTGGGTACCTGGCTGGGTTCTATGCTGGGCTGTGAGGTAGTGGCCATGGTGCCACCCAGAGGGTGTGGAATGCCCAGGCCCTATGACTCTCCATCCACCCCCACCTCCTCCCCTCTCCCTACTTATCTCTAGCTTCCTCCCTTTTTTCTCCTTTCTCTTCTCTCTTCAAAGACTCTTGTTCCCATTTTGGTCCTTGACCTTGTTTGGAATTCTGGAAGCCCAACTGCTCCCACCACAGATAGTAAACCATGGTGGGTAGGGAAGGGGGGAAGGCTGAGGGGGGAGAGGGGGAGGGGAATGGGGAGGGGGGAGGGAGACTAGCCAGGATGGAGACAGTGATGCCCCACACAGAGCTCAGAGCTGCCCCGATGGACCCAGACTTCCTTCCACCCCAAATCCCAGTCCCAGCCCCGGGAACACGGCCCTTTGCCACCCAGCACTAATCGGACTGACCATCGTGATCCCCACCCACTTCCTGAGCCCTCTCAGGGCCCCTGCTCTCAGGCAGCTCCTTCTCACAGTCAAGTCCACACGTACCCACCTGGGGAGTCCATGGGAACAGGAATCAGACCCTCAGACACAGGGGGCTGCTGGTGTCCAGCTTTCAGGCATCCTTCCATCTGCCCACTTACCCAACTAGGCTCAGACTAA